GGGCTCCGGGAGGAAAAGGTGGGGACGCACCAGGGCGCACACCACTCCCAGGCCGGCCCTTTCCTCCTTCCTGGGAGGACAGCGGCCCAACCCGAGGCCGGGAAGGGGTGACTCTGCAGGAAGCCGCCCTGAGCCAGTGGATCCGGGGGTGAGGTCGGGGAGACGGCGCTGGCTGCCGTCTGTTGGGCCCCAACTTCGTGCCGCTGTCCGGGGGGCGATGCAGAGGGGACCTCGTTCAATCCCTCCTCCGGCAGCAGCCGGGTGAGAGCGTTGTCCGGCTGCTCTTGTGCCCATTTTACAGATGCAACCACCGCGTCAGAGAGGCCGCACAGCTAGTCACGGGCAGAGCAAGGGCTGAACTCGCCGCCGAGGGGATATATATGATCAGATGCTACCCTGCTGCAGGCCAGCTGTTTGGTCACAGGGGTGACAGGTTTGGGAAATAAAAAATACATTCTCCCAGTTAAATCTGAATTTCAAATAAACACCAATAATTTTTTCCGTGTAAGTGTGTGTGTGGTGGTGGCGGGGAGAAAGTTTCCCCTACCTTCTATATTCTCCCACTGGTCTGATAATTAAAGTGACATGATTAGCAAGGGAAATAGCCTAATTTAACCACATACATGCACGGGGAACCCCGCACATACATGCACGGGGAACCCCACACATACATGAGAGGGCCAGGGCCGACGGAAAATGAGGTGTCCATGGCCTTTTGAGCTAAGGCTAAGGTTAGGACCAGACAGTGCGGCTCAGGGGAACACCCGGGCGCAGACACACACTCCCCATGGCCTCACCCGTCACCCGGAACCTTCCAGGAGTGAGTCCCAGCCCCAAGGGCAGGGGTGAGTCAGAAGCAGCTGGGATCACCCAGAGTTGCCTGGGCTGGGCGTGGGCCAGCAGAGTGTGTGTGTGTGTGTGTGTGTGAGAGAGAGAGAGAGAGAGAGAGAGAGAGAGAGAGAGAGAGCCATGGCTCTGGATGGTGTGAGTGGTCACAGGTACCACCTGCAGGTACGGGGAACGGGAGATCCTGCTTTCCCATTGTATGGATGGGAAAACAGAGGCAGCTAAAGGGTGGCAGACAGAGTAAGCCCGGCCCACCGCCCTAGACACAGTCCTGCCCCTCCGTCTTCCGGCTCAGGAGGGCGAAGGGGGTGACAGGGGCTGAGGCTGAGGCTAAACCAGCCCTTTCTTTCCTCTCTCCTTCAGGTCTGAGATCTGAATTCAAAGGACTCAGAGCAAATGTTACAATGAATGGCTTTGTTTTAGCGATCTCTCCCTTTGGGAGTGGCTCCTGCCTTCCTGTGGCTGTAGCTTGGGGCGGGGGTGGGCTGGGACAGGCCTGTGGGGTAAGGGAGGGCTGACTAGGAGACGGGATGAGCGTCCCTGGGGTTGCAAAAGATGGGAGGCCCCTCGAGGAGGAGGAGGAGGAGGAGGAGGAGGAGGAGAGGAAGACTCCAGAAAGCAAGCTTCAAAAAGCCCAGATGGCTTCCTGGGCCCCTGATCCCTTCTCTCCCCAGCCAGGCAGGGCTCAGGGCATTACAACTTGCCCCGGCCAAGCAGTGGAAGCGGCAGAGCCCACCCAACACCGCCTCTGGGAGGGGTCTTCATAGCAGGGTTCCCCAAACCACAACGCTGCCAGGAATCAGTTATATCTTGTGTTTGTAGGGTCATTTGCCATTTAAAAAATATTAACCATTGCCCAGTGGTCGGCAAACTGCAGCTCAGCAAACCGTGGCTCGCGTTCCCACTGGGGATCGAGCCCACAACCTGGGACATGTGCCCCTGACTGGAATCAATCTGAAATCAATAAAAAATATATTAAAAAATAAATAAAAACACTAACCATCAGTTCTC